TGAGAGCTTGAAAATCCTGAAGAGTCTGGTGGAAGAGGGGGTGTTCTGTTGCTACTTACATGGCTTTCTTTCCAAGGGAGAGGCATGATACAACAAGTTGTTCTACTTGTTTCATTACCACGTTGAATCACACTTGCGGTGGCTGACACCAAGAAGGAGCTGCTCCTTACTCAGGGGACCTTTCTGTGCTGCTGAGCCACTCTGGTACAGTCTGACCATGCAAGGGTCTACCTTTGGGTGGACATCATCTTGCCTCTTGCTCAGTTCAAAAAATGTGAATCCTCATTTTTGTTTCTGTGTCCTGAATTATGGGTAGAAGTCATGTTTGAACCCATAATACAATCCCCTTTTAATCTGAATACAAAAATGCAAGTACAGCTTTCTAACATGGTGAGAAGTTACACTTGGAAGTACCCTTCTGAGAATCCAGTAAGTTGTGTCTTCTTCCTAAGTTTTGCTGTTCTTGCGAGAAGAAATTCCTGTTTCTTTTGTTTCAAATCTCTCTAAATATTGACTAGAGCTACAAGAAGTCTCTAGTCTTTTGTGGCTGTCCAAATGTGCTCACTACACAAACTAACACGCTTACAGTCACAGCTGATTCTGACATTTTCATCACCACTCTGAAACAGGTTATGTTGTTCTGATGAAAAGGCACAATGCCCTGAGAAAAATCAGGGATAAGCAGAAAACCTAAATAAAATACAAGGAAAACAATATTTTCCTAGCAAAAATGGGGATGGCATCCAGAGGAATAAAAGCGGTGCTCTGTGACTTTGCATGAGCTCACCAAACATCAGTATTACTGTCAGATGATGGGAACTCACCAAAAGCAGCCTGGAAAGACCCAGAACTTTTTTGTCAACATATTTCTTGCTCTTTTTTCAGTAAATGGTCTACCGAGCATGAGCATGTTGAAGTAGGGAATTCCCTGGTTCAGCGAGCCAAAAACTGTCATCTTACTCTGTAATTGCTGCTTTAAGCAGGGCAGATGAGATTTGCAAAAGGATTTGAAGGATCGCTGAGCAGCTTCTGCCAACTTGTCTTTCTTGAAGATCACAGGGTGATCTGTGGAGTCACCCCTGATGCTTCAGGAGAGCTGAAAGCGCTGTGGAGTCTGAGCTGCTTAGCTCAGAGGTCAGAGCAGGGCAGTGGGCATTAGGAGCCCTGAAACTCTTTCAAGACAAGTCACTTAAGGGCCCTCCACCCACCTTTAACCGCTGGTCTGAAATGCATTTTTCTGTTGCTATTAGTGTTCCTAAAAAGCACGTGGATCATGGATGCAAACTCCTCAATAAAGGCACATTCTTGCTATCCAGTACTCTGATTTCCAAAAGATGTATAAAGCCAGCTCGTTGGCCACCACTCTGGCTGCCTCCTGTTGCTGAAAGCTCTGTCCTGAAGCTGTGGGTGTTTTCTGCACCCATTTCTCCTCATTTCAGGAGCTGATGTTTGGCAATGGAAACACCCATGTTTTGCACATAGGAGAAGATTGGTGCCTTCTCCGAAATCTGAGACTTTCTGACTTTCGGGTCAGATACAGCCTAATGGCTCAGGCATTTATGGCACCAAGAACCAACCCTTCTCCATCACCGTAGATTTTTAGTACAAGTCAGCCTTGCTAGAGGCCTTGGAAATAGAGCAGGAATCTAGTTTTTCCATCTTGTACTCTATCACGAGTAGGGAGCAAATTATCTCAGAGCAATGTGACGAGTGATTCTGTTTTCGGTGCAGATGAGATACAGCTCCACTGTTATCTACAGGTGTTCACTGGAACTGGTGAAAGAATGCCTGTAGATAGTAGCATTTATTAGAGAAAACAATATGAATATATACATTGGTCCGTGGAAATCATACCTTTATTTGAGGGCAGGCCTGAAGAATTACAGTTTTCGTAAATTAAAAGTGTTTTCTATGTTTGGATCAGAAAAAAAGAAACTGGAGAGAAGAGACAATAATTTAAAGATCAATTGTACCTAGAGTTCAAAATCCTACAGGCTGTGACTGATATTATCAGTTTTCTTCTACTGTACGTAATTCTGCTGACTTCTCAGGGAACAACTCACAGCAGTAGAGCTAAGCATGGTCTAGAGGGCTGGAAACCACCTCTCAAATTCTGACTGCTCCCCTCGCTGTGCAGCAACAAGTCCCACCGGGAAGGTAGTTTCAGGGTCTGTGACCTGTTTACAAGACGTGGCTGCTGGGCAAGTGATTTGCCTTTGAGATTGTACTTCACTGCTGACTTGCCAGTGGTTTGAGAGCCGCACTTAAAGCTGCGTGTTGGAAGGACACCCTTACCGGGCAGGCAATCAGAGCAACTTGTTCCAAGGAGTTTTGTGAAACACTGACATCCTCAAAGAAATGTCATTGCCCCAGAAGACGATGCTGTTCAAGTGAACTTTCTAAGAAACCTAAACTTAATTCCATAAACTTTATTTATGCTGTCTATATATAATATTTCGAAAGTGCATGTAATGATGTGCTTTGTAAGATTCTCCATGTATCATTGTGTATGTAGAAAACATCAATAAAAACATTTTGCTTCACTATCTTCGTATGGAAGATTGCAAGTTATTTAGTTACTGGTAACACTGGTTTTAAAATCTGTGGGACTATTGTGCCTTCAAGAGAATATTCTTCTAATGGAAGTAAGATTTTTCGAGGAGGATCATTTTATTATCAGCTTTTGGACTTCTCCCCACCATTTTGTTACTTTCCACTATCCTTTAGAGAACACATGCCTGAAGCCATACAAACAAAGCTTTGTTTCTCTTCCTTGTTGAATTAGTCTTATGGCTTCTGTCTGGATTACTTAAATTTACAGCATAATGCATCGTAAAATAGAATATTTTTCTTTTCTGTGGTATTCTAAGTACTTCAAAGGCCACAGTGGAGGCTGTAGTCTTTATACATAAAATAGATTTCCACTGGGTGTTACCTGTTTCGTTGAGAGCACTGTCCGTGCAGCTCTGGAGCAGGCCTGCACCACTTATGGACATTAGGAGAAAGTGATCTCGAATCCAAGCTAAACGAGTGTTAAGAACAGTACAAAGTTTTGGCTTTGTGATATGAAACTCATCTCAATAGATGAGGCAGAAATAATGAAAAAACAGGGCACCCCACCAAGTCTGAGGAGCCTGAGTTAGGTTGCACCTTCAGGCACTGCAAAGGTACGTAGGCCAAGGTACTTTAGGGAATTCACTACAAGCTACTGCAACAACCAGCCAAACCTACTCATCATCTGTCACCTCTTAAGAAACCTGTCTAAGGCTGTATAGAACGGCAGGATATAACTCCTAGGCTGAAAAGAGTGTATTCTGACACAAGTCCTTTTGTCCTGAAATGAGGAAACTTTAAGCAGTGTTGATGGGATCTTTACCATTGATTTTGGCATGAGATTTTTCATTTTCCTGTGGGCACATTTATTTTTTTGAAACAGCGGAGAAACAGAGGACACCACACAGTGCAACTTCTGTGCCAAAAAAGGTTTGATTATCGCAGGACTTTGCAAAAGAGAGTTCACAAAAATTTTCTTTTGTGATAATTTCATCGTGTGATTTTTCTGAGTTTTGCTTGCAAATTATCCACTGTAGGGAACACAGATGAATTCTGATGGTTTGTGGATTCTTTGGTTTGTGGATGTGTTGAAGGCGAGTATCTCCAGTGTCAAAAGTAAATTTTTCCTAAATTGTCCCAGTGCTCTGGATTTTTGGATTAATGCAGAGAACTTGGCACCTGTGCCTGTAGGTATTGGCTGGCTGTTGGAGCGAAAACTGTTGTAGCAGCAGGGACCTTCTGAATCTTTTTCTCCCTTTGCTATAGCAGAGACATTTGGTCCCATGATTTCTTTTCATCAGATAGTTCTTTCATTTGGATTTTGTGTGTACTGTAGAGTTTGTTAAAAAAAATCTTGTCCACAATCCTCACTGAACAGAAATGTGACTGCATGTGCAAGGCATTACTTTTGGGTCTGTCTTCTTTCTGAACTGTTAGGAGCAGAAAGGTTGCTGGGGATTAAAAGAGTCATGATAATTTCTGCTGTAGTTTGTATGTATGTATTGTGGCAGTGCAGTAAACCCGCTTTTTGACATGATTTTGGCTTAATTTTCTGATTGTTGCCTCATCAGTGTTGTTTAATTTCCTTTCGTCTTTTTGTTCTTAAAAGTCTTTGCAGCAATGTGCAAAACCCCAGTAACAATAGCTCATTTTGCAAACCATGGCAAAAATTTGTTTTGAGGGTTTTTCCAGGGTAACGCTGGGACCTTTCTGTCTAGTTTGTATTTTTCAGCACATAATGAGAGCAGATTAATATGTTTTTTCAGTCTGCAATATTCTTTTGTTTGATAAGGAGAATTTAATCTGTTGGCCACAACACTGGACCAAAGACAAAACAGGTCTTCCTTTTACTGTTTTATTTAGTTTATTGTACGTATCAGGGATTTGAAATGCTGTGGCTAGAATACTGCAGCAGTACTTTTCTTTAGGTGTTAGGAATTAAAAACTGACATCTTTTTGAATTGACTTGCTCTCTGCAGCCAGTGGTTAAACTGTGCTCCTTGTGGGTCAGTCTTTCCCATTTTTGTTGCAGTGGGAATTTTCTCCCTGACAGTCTCATCTTCCGGCAGAGCGCCTCTTTAATCTGGGCGGCCGGGGATCTATTCTGCTGGAGGTGGCATATGCATTCAAGGAAATGGCTTGCTGTGAGAATCTCAGCTGTATTTAAACTCAGGAAACCTGGAAAAGCTGGGGGTCAAACTGAGGTGAGAAAACTGACTTCGGACTTGCTGAATGCCCTGCTCATCAGCTTATCACTGACATCAGTTAATTGCTGCCACCCCTCAGCGCCCGACTCTGTGGCTGAGCAGTATTATGTGTCTTAGTGATGCTTTGGTAGTAGTTTTGCCATATGCAGACATTTCCTGCTTTGCCTGCAGCCAGAAGAAATTTGGCAAATAACTCAAGTTTCCCCAAGGACTTGATTTTTTATTTCTTTCTGCTTCTAGGTGTCAGTCAGTCTCTCCACCGCCTATTTTGTCCCCGCGAAGAAGCCCAGCCTACCCCCTCAGCGATAGTGAGGACTCCTGCCACTCTGCTCGGCTCACCAAAGTCTCCAACTCCAGACTGCGCCTCAAGGACTGGAGCAGTCGCACGTCTACGCTGCGAAGCACCTCCACGAGCCCGTCGGACACCGACTCCCCAAGCCACCCTCTCAAAGCCATCAGTGTGGGTGCTTTGGATAAAAGGCTGTCTGTGTTCAAGGCTGAGGATGAAAAGGAGAGTCCAAAAGAGGCTCCGGATGGGGAAGCAATAGGGAGCCATCCGCTCTCCCGGAGCACTCTGTCCTTGGGCACTGCCACCAACCTGAGGAACCTCTCCGTCAGCCGGGCGAGCGTCCGTTCCCAGGCGCTGGACATCAGGCAGAAGATCACAGAATGGGAGTGCCGCCGGGAGACGTCCCCCAGGATGGGCGTGTGTGTGGACAAGAGGGACGCTGGGGAGAGGTCGGGCAGTGAGAGCTGCCCCAGCGTGCTGACCTCTCCGTGCAGCGAGAAGACATTTGATTTCAAAGGGCTCAGGAGAATGAGCCGAACGTTTTCTGAGTGCTCTTACCCGGAAACAGAGGAGGAGGAACTGCTGGACAGAGATTCCTGCCATCGGTTTGAAAAGAGACCAGGCAGGAGTGAGCCTCCTTCTGCCGCTTTCCTCAAGGGCCACGTGAGGAAAGAGTCCTCTGCCGTGCTCAACAGAATACAGAAGATTGAGCAGGCGCTGAGAGAGCAGCCGGGCAGAGGCCTCCCCCAGCTGCCCAGTAGCTGTTACAGTGTTGATAAAGGGAGGAAAACTTCTGTGACTCTGAGCACTGTGGAGGGACTGAGCGAAACCCTAAGTGATAGCAAGGGAGGGAGTGTTATTTCGGGGAGTGAACCAGAAACACCTACTGAGGCTGAGAAAAGCAGTAAGACAAAACAGGGAGTTACTGCAAACTCAGCTGGCCCTAAACTGCTCCTCGAAAGCCCGGCTAACAGCACGGTGAATCCTGTCCCCAAGCCCAAACGCACCTTTGAATATGAAGCAGACAAAACCCACAAAGGTAAACCAAGCAATGGCCTACCTCCATCTCCTACACCTGCTGCTCCTCCTCCCCTCCCGTCCACCCCTGCACCCCCTGTGACCAGAAGGCAGAAGAAAGAGTCGCGCTTTCACAGAAAATCCCAGAATAGGTAAAACTCAAGGAAATATCTTGTGCTTGATCTTCAGATAAATAACGTGCTGTATTTTTTTTTTTGTAACAATATTTTAAGTTCTCCCTCTAAGGCAATGCTTGTGAGCTGAGAAATGCTAGGAATTGCGTGCAAGACAAGTATATTTTCTGCTGGACTACGTTCATGGCATTTGGAGTTCTCCAACCTGCGTTCCTTGATCCCTGAAAAAGGCTCTAAGTCATGTGCACTAAGGGTTATTTTGTTCATTTTGGCATGAATTATTTGTGATTTTTTTTAATGGAGCATCATTTCATTACCCTCTTGTAGCGGGACCATAGCTGAGCTGGTGTAGTCCTGTCTTCTGTTGACTGCAGAACATACCTGCAGAGGGTTTATGTTTCCAACACTTGTGGCTACAGCAGTTGTGTCAGTTTTATGTGATGTTGGTGATTTTATTTAATTCAGTGCTTAGAAATGTTGTCCTAAGTTACTATCAGTAGCTGTAGAGGTTTAATGCTAAGAAAACTATATTTTAGCGCAGGAGGGCCTTTATGTCCTTCCTGAGTTAATGGTGAGCAGAGTAGGTGGCTACGTTTCCCCAGCAATTTGTAGAGCTCGACTTGTTTTAATTCCGTGATTCCTCTTTAGTTTCTGAAATGGTAAAACTCATTCTGCTCACAGCTTAGAAAATTGTAGCCATAGTTGTTGATCAACATTTAATGTATGGTATTTTATACAAGTTCAGCTGTCTGCGCGTGTGTACGGTACACACATATTCTTAGTGTTTAGTGATGAACTTTTCAAGTAACCGTTAAACAGCTTTTCAGATGCACACTGTCAGTACAGTATCTTGATGTTCAGTGCTTAATGTTGGCTCAATTAATTAAAAGTTTATGTCAGCGCAACCTGACCTGAAGTATGCTGGGGCAGGAAAAACAGAAGAGGAGCCTTCAGAGTCTGCCTTTTACTTCGAGGAGACACCTGTTTCTGCAATGGATCAAACAGCTCTGCTGATGTGCTTTGTTTCTCTGAGAAAGGCGTGGGGGAGGAAGCCAAGCTCTGATTAGCAGTGCCTATCTTTGAGTTCTGGCAGTAATTTCAGAGGGAGTATATCTAGTTTTTAACTTGAATTTGTGAAATAAAGCTGACGTCATTTTGTTCAGCACAGCATTTCTAGTGTACAGAAGACAATATTTTTTAAATGTTCTGCTATAAGTGATAGCCTTTACTAGAAAATTAAAGGGCAATGGTAAAATGGTCTGCGTGGTGGAGAGAAACGAGTAGTAGGAGATAGTTCTTGCACGGAATCACTGCGTGACCTGCAGCTATGTGATCCAAGTCAGTCTTCTAGTACACACTCACACTGAGTTTGAGACTATACAAGTCATCTAAGAACCACAGTATTTTGTTACAAGGAGATTGTGAGATTAAGTTTTGACCTTCATTTCAAGAGGAGGTACGTTTTGTGTTTGAACCTGCTGTTCTGCAGGCGCAGTCTCCCACCATAGCGGCGTTAGGCAACAGCCAGTGCAGCAATGGAGTCTCAGTCCTGGGTGGGACTAGCAGGTACAAGCTCAACACGAAAGCAGTATTTATCACTTAAAGTTGCGATAAGTAGAGTATAAGCTGTAGGATTTACAGTGTTGTCATGTGTAGCTGATGATTCTTGTAAATCAGATTGACATTTTACACGGTAGGTTTCCATTTGTTTGTCGCAGCTTTACTCTACTGTAGTTTAGTGATTTATCTGAACTTAACCTCTGATTAATGACGATCAAATTAAGTTTAAATTAACCTCTCAAAATGACATGTTTGCCAGATGACTTCAAGGCTAAGCAGAAATCCTTTATAAAATCTTGACTTTATTGTCCTCGCTACTGTCCTTCCTGTAGCTTTTACTCTTCAGGTTGGGGTGGGCTGGACATTCCCTAGCAGCTGGAGATCCTCTGGCACAGGATAGGCTTGGGACACACGGACCACAGCTGAAGGTGGTCCACAAAACCATTCCTGCCGTCCTATGCAGCGTTACTGCATCTTAGGGTTGCTTTGAAATCTGCGAGAGTTGGGTATTGAACTACTTTGGAAAGTTTCGTTTCATACACAGGTATGTCTTCAGTGCCTAAGTATTTTTTATAACTGCAAGTAGTTGTGGAGGAGCAGATATCTGGATCTGAAATGCACGGTTTGTTTTTGCCATAATCCTGATGTGCATAACACGAATCTAGATATTCTTAGTACTAGGGAAAGGAGAGAGAGAGAGCTCCTAAGCCTGCCCTGGACACAAGTCTGCTCCGGGTGACAATAGGAAATGCTCTTGGCAAACGCAGTGTCTGTGTGGTAGTCACTGTAGTCACCTGCTGTAGGGATACTCTTGAGACAATTCACGGGCTGAAGTTTGTCACTGCCATATGGAGCTGCTGTCCACAGAGGTTTGACTCCAACTGAGGAGAAGAGGAAAAGAGTCTGATGGCAGGATGATTTACTGTTAAGCTAGTCTGGGCATCAGTGGATGCTCATCCATCCCAGAGAGCCTTGATTTCCTTGATGTTTTGTTCTTTGCTGCCAGTGCTTGACACAGGGTGTGTAAGGGAAGTGGGCGACTTTCACACGACTCTGCTTTTGGCATTTGTACTGACCTTTATGCAGAAACATTTCTGAAGGTTCAAGACATGTGAGTGTTTTCAAACTAAGGGCTATGTCTCCCAGAGCAACCGATGGAGGAAAGCCTTCCAGAGAACTCTCTTTCTTGAGGAGAGAAGGCCACGTGTTTCTGCGGCCCCTGGCAAGAGCAAAGCAATTTCTTATCTCAGGACTGTGTTGCTAACTTACTCTGTGACCTTTGAAATATGTCACATACTTTCTTGGTGTTTTCTCCCTGTCCACATAATGGGGATAACAATGCTTCCAACATCATAAAAGTGTCACAGATTGCTACACTAAAGCCTGCTGTGAGCACAAGACTTGAGGTCCTCTACAAGTTGGTCCTTAAAGCATGCTGTGTGATTTTTTTTGTTGATGGTGATCATTTTGTGTATATTTCTTAGCAAGCAAACGCTCAGCTAAACGTTTGCATCGTTTTACATTCTAGTTACTAATTCATTATTGTTTTAAACTTCAGAAAATCCTTTGAGTTTGAGGATGCGTCAAGTTTGCAATCCCTGTACCCTCCCTCCCCAACTGAAAATGGGACTGAGAGCCAGCACAAATTTGGATCCAAGAGCACTTTAGAAGAAAATGCCTATGAAGACATTGTAGGTAAGAACTTGTTGAAGTACATGGGATATTGAGCAGTTGCATTGAGTCAGACCGTGTGTTGCCGAACAGCTGTAGCTGTGCAAGGAAATTCACTGCTGTCAGTAGAGAGAGATTAAATGGAGGGTAAGTGGATCTTATGTATCAGGGCACACATAACTCTCAGTCTGCATGAGAAGGTCTTGATTCCTTTGGACTTTATCGTGTGGTATTGGAAACAGACCCTTTGGTTTGCTTTTTGCTGTGCTTTTCAAGAACCAAATGATTCTTTTTATCAAGGCCTTGACTTGAAGCTTTGAGTGGTGTAAAAATGTAAAGAGCTGAACTTGAGATAGTATTTATAGAACTATCCAACAGCAAGATTAATCTCCCAGGCCTCACATGGTCAGCCTGAGTGTTTCAGGACTCCGCTGTGGACTGCCCTGAAGCAGTTGTTTGCAGCACTGTTCCTGGTCTCTCGCCTAAGTCCCAGTTTTTGGTTAAAGAAAAATTAATTTCCTTTAGCTATACAGCCATCAGGAATGCACAACAAAAGCACTGTTTTGATTAAGCTTCACAAGAAAAACATATTTCTTTTGGTCTTAGAAGGAAACGTATGGCCTATGCATACATTCTTTTAACATCAAAAAGGTTGTTATAATTACCAAAAATTGGGCAGCCCTTCAGAGCACAGATTTTCTGCACAAGCGATGAATATCTGCATTGTTTTTAACTCTTTCAGTGTTGTATTAGTACAAGAGATACAAAGGGTATTTCATTTTACTTTGGACAATGAATCTTTATCTACTGAAACTGGAGGGCTACCAAGATGATTAGGGGCCCTAGAGCACATGTTCTCTGAAGAGACACCGACAGGCTGGGCTTGTATAGTCTGGTAAAAACAAGGACCAGAGGCACTCTAATACTGCTTAGAAATGTTTGAAGGGCAAACAAAGATGATGGAACAAAACTCTTCTTGGTCCTATCAGTTGATACAACAGGGAACAGTGGCCACAGATTGCAGCTTGGGGCTCTGTGTCGTTATACCCAAATTCTTTCTCTGGCTTCTCAGCCTCAGTGAAAACAGGAATTCACTCTTTCCATTTTCAGCTGTCCTCTCCCTTTATGCTATTCAAAAAAATGCTTTCAGAATGCAAAGAAATGCTGCTGTACAGTGTCTGTTAGAAAAAAATAGAGCTTATGTAGATACTAAACCTTTTTTTCCTGTGGAGAGTGTCCTTGTATGATCATCAGCCTTCTCCGTGAACAGTCAGACCTCTGTGCACTTCACACTTGAAAATGTATTGCGCATTAATTACAGTGCCCTTCGCTGCTTGGGACCTGTCAACGTGATGCAAGATGTTAGGTGCTAATGCTTCTTTTCTTTGCGTTGGTTTATTAAATAGCAAAATAAAGTGTGCAGGACTGGTAAGAAACTTTCTCAGATGAGAAGTCTTGAGTTCAGTAAAACAAAATTATAATGGGTTCTTCCAGCTCATGGGAACTATAAGCCGGCTCCCTGCAGGTTATAATGTGGGCATTTTGGCAGGGCAGTGGGAAGAGTATGCAAAATTTCAGATCTATGGACAAACACAGAACGTCGTTGTTTTGTACTGCTTTTTAACAACCTCTTTCCAAAGCACTTCATTCAATACAGGCAATGTGGGGAGAATACTGACTCGGTATAATTCTTATAAACTGTCAAGCTTAAGATTAAAGACACCCCAAAGTAGTTTGATCTCCAGCTCTAAAGAAACTATCATAATTTTATATATCATATCTGCATAATCTATACCAGTAGTGCTAGATCCCAGTCTCTTAAGTAGCACTTCTATACTCATGCAGACCAGGTGTCAGTAAAAGTGCATTTATTTTATAGTTTTACATCTGCTTCAAAGCTATCCAGGACCCTGTCACTGCTGCTTTGAGTTTTCTCTGCAAACAGTTGCAAAAAATCAGTTTTTGTGTCTATACCTGGTTGAATCTCCTGCCTCTTGAAAAGCTTGCAGGTAGTTAAACATTGTGACTGTAGTAATAACATCAGTAAAGTGTGTCATCATTCCCCCCAGCCCTATATAATTAAAACTTTTAATGCAAATTAGTGTTAAAACACAGGAAAAAAACAAGGCTATGTATTTGTCAAGAAGCAGTTGTATAAAGGGGTGCAATTGCTAATACTAATCAGAGCTGTATTCCAAGTGCAAAGAGCCGTGTGGACTTCATTCATCTTCTGTACTAGCACTCACAGGAATGTGGCAGTCATAGTAAACTTAACATTGTTTTGCTTCTTGTGGTTTTGAATGAGTCTTTAATCAGACCAAAATTGATGTGGCTTTATGAATCCAGTTGGGAAACCATGCTTGGCTTTGTGCGAGTTCAAGAAACTATCATAGTATTAAGAGATGTCTGAGGCAGTTGCTTCTGCTGTGTTTGTGGACAACAGTATTTCCTGTCTTATGTACCATAAGGTTTTGGTTTTCCAGTCTGCTCCCCTAAATGCAGTAGAGATACTTGAATATTGTTGTTTAAGGTCTGGTGTCTCTGAGGCATTTTTCACCTGAAATCTAAAAGAAAGCACTCATCATCAGCAGAAAAATCTGAATGAGTAAAGTGCAGGCAAGGTTAAAGGCACAATATGAAGTTTAACTTCAGAAAATCTGGTAAGCCCATGTAAATTATAGTTCGTGTTTGTAAGAGAAGTTACACTCACAATTCAAAACCTAAATATAGCAGAAGTCTTCGACAAGGCAAGGCTTCTTACTCTGTAACTCCTCACAGTGCTGGACACAGTAGAACAAGTGGAAGTTTCCTCTCAGAAGACACTGTGTAGGTGAGCGGGAGACCTTTTACTCAGCTGGGCTGTGTACGTTGCATCATAGTTTGAGAATGTTTTATCTGATGTCGCACAACTCCGTATACCCTTTTCCAAGGGCCATTTGCTCTTATAGCTGCCTGGTCCTCATTTAAAACATTTTCTTTTTATCTCTGAGAAGAAAGAAAGTGATTAAAATGCTTTTCCTCCCTGAAGGTCTGTGACTGTCAAGGATTCTTGCTTTGCTTTTTTTGGAGTCATATGGACATTCAGTACCCAGGCCATGAGTATGAGTATCAGATTATTTGTCTTCTAGCAGGGGTAGTCTCTTAGTGGTGCAATAAGAAGAGCAGTTTATGTAAGAATGGGTTTATTTTATCCACATATATTACTGCAGAGAGGTCTTATTCCATTAAGGTTCCCGTTCTGTCTGACTGGCTCATATGCAAGACTAGTGCCCACTCCCTAAAATGCAATGGTCCAAAGCACTCTTAGAACGCTCTTAACTAACATGAAAGACAACACTTACGCACTTTTAATCACTGTGTTTCTGGAGGGGATATGTATTTGGACCTTGTTACAACTGACACCCAAGATAACTGAAAGTTATACACAGTTATTTAGATTTCCTCTTGAGTATCTCACTTCAGTCTGGAGAGAATCAACTACTTGAAGGACAACTGGCTTTGAGTTTGCGTCAGCCTTCTTCACAGTCAGAGAGCTGAGTGAAAAATAAATCTTTATAAAGCCTTAAACCTGTCAGATTGGTACCGGGCCTAGAAAAGTTCCTTCTTATTTTTTTTGTATTTTATTGTTTAGTAAAACCATATCCATGTAAGTCTTGTATACAGATTTCAGGTAATCACTCAGGAAGCAAATTGTCCTTCTTTTGGTGCAGCCATCTCTCCTCAGAATTGAGGGCTAGGTTGTTGTTGTATTTGTGTAGGTACAGTCTTCTCCAGAGAGACGAGAATGGACAAATCTGGCTCTCTCAGCTATTTCCCAATATGTCAGGGCTCAGGAGATGTAGCAATATGTCTCAAATTAACATTATTAAGTGAAGTGTCAGGACAGCACCAGGTGGTGCGTGGGCAGTTACAATGGGCAGGTGTGAGCCTACGAGCAGTATCCTGGAGCAGAGGGAATGTCGGTGGCTTCACCTTGCCTGTGGAGTCCAGAAGAACACGTCACTCCCTTTAACCCTCCTGGTATGGCACCTCATCTCTCCTAAACTAGTCGCTTGTTTTGAATTCTGGTGTAAAGTGAACATAGTGCATGTCATGTAACAAACGAGATGATTTAGCTGTTTTACTGAATCTTCCATTGCGTGTGCCAAGAGCTGCAGAAATGATGACTGAGGTCCAGTTGGAAGATGTTCCAATTTGACATTGCTTTCAGATTAGAACATTTGCAGAGACCTTCCAATAAATGTGGAAAAAGGTTAGAAAGACAACAAGCTGATCTTTCCAGCAAAATCCTGTCATCACATGCCACATTATTGCCTGTCATGCTTTCGTATTGCATTATTTTCTGTCATATTAGCATCTCACATCAAAATGGTTGTAGAAATCTGGGAAAATTTGAAATTGCTGGGCTTCTCTGAAGCTAAGCAAACTGGGAGAGACTGCACCTCTGCCAGCAGTGCTGTGCTAGCTGCTTCTCTGAAAACATTTTGGATTTTTAGTCAGACCCTTACCAGGAGGTCTCTACATAGTTGTTAGTCAAAGACAGAGCTGGGATCGATACAAAATGATGGTGCAGACAGTGATCAAGGAAACGTATGTTCCTCTCTACTTACATACAATCTGCCTCTCACAGTCTAAAAAGCATGTGAGTTTTTGGAAAGTGAGTAGTGGCAAATTTAATGATAGAGACTGTAGGGTAATGGCAGACAGAGCACATTAAATCAAACAGTATCCATATGGGCCTGTCAAAGAAAGGCCAAATACTCCAGCTGTCCGATCCTGTTGACTACCAGCCTCCTGCTTTGTTGCTACATTGGGATGCACTGATTTCAGTTATTTTTATTAATCATGACATGCTTTATTTAGATCTTCATTTTCTCTATGGAGTATGTGTCACTGCTGTACCATCCACTACAACTGCTTTTGACAGCCTCCACCAGCTTTATCGCCTGGTTTTCTAGTCAATGCTGCAGGTTAGTAAAACAGAGTAAAATGACTCTGTATGTTGCAGATGCTCTAATACTTTT